GAAAATCATAAGATATAGAAAATATTTTGTTAATTGCAGACGAAGGCAACTTTACTTTGGTACAGTTACCACAAAGGAGAAAGAACCTCAGTTGGGACAAATATTTTTGTATAAAATTTATAGGCTTTTATATCGCAGCTGAACACGGAACAAAATCTGTTTGTCATACAAAGGTATTTGTCCATATGAAATCAATGTATTACAAAGGTACATATTCCATAGTAAGAGTTAAAGCTATATATAAATTTATACATTATGCTTTAAAACTAAGAACTCACGTAGATGAATTATGTACCTATAGTAAAATTAACTCATTTTGCATACAGGTTTCATAAAGATTATATTAAAGCGGTAGTTTTGAAGAAGAACTTTTGCAAAGCTGTGCTCAAATAGCCTTTTACAATTGCTTCAGATCTTGGTAGGTGGGATTAAGTTTAAAAGTAATTCAAAGGGTTGTTGCAACTGGACTTTATACAGAGAAAGTTAAGCACTTCGTCCGAATAGAAGTTGTTCGTGGCTTGCGAGTTTTCAACGAATGCTTTGTGTGCCACTTTCATTATGGTACTAACTGTGCCCTGCGGTTTCATTTGCGTTAATTTTCCGCTTTACCAGTATCGTTTGATGTGCTCGCTAAACCTCGCCTGCAGCTTTTCAAGTTGATGTTGTTAAATAAACATTAATGGTGGTAGGGCCACGCAGCAGCCTCGGCTGTTGCACGAATGGGCAGGCCCGTCCGAGTAAGTACCACGACCTCACAGAAGACCAGCGTAAAGTGAAAGTATGACAAATTTTCGCGTTTTGTCTGGTGTGTGAGGTAGCCGGAGCCCAATTTTCAAAAGGTTGTCAGCACGTCTATAACCCTCGGGTGAAGCAGATGTCCATGGGCGGCGGTATTCACATAAAAAAAGCGTGACTTCGAGAAGGATTAACCAACGAATGCAGCTCGGCCGGGCTACATTCGGGAAATTACGCAGCATCTTTACGTCCAAAATACCACAGTCCTTAAAGACGACAGTGTTTAATCACTGCATACTACCAGCAATGACCTTTAAAAAAAAAGATACCAGATATTATGAGATAACTTACAGATTAACCAATTATCACTTTTCTCAGGTGTCTGTTTGTTGGACAACTCATGCATTGATTTGATGTGTGTTACGTACGGAGATCTTTTTATGAATTCCATCTTTCAGTGTTTGAATGAAACTGTGAAACGGATTTTTCTTTGTTTTACTTTGATTTTAAATTCACAATGTTCCGAAAACTTTACAGCGTTCTGGTGTAGGGACATATTGAGTTTTTTTACGTCATAATGTCATAGTTAACCCGGGCTAGCGTCAATTATCAAAGAAACGTCGGGAGTTTAATATCAAAACAAAACGTGATAAGATCCTCAAAACTGTTTCATTAAACAAGAAATCAGTATAGAACGTTCAGAGTTTAATTGATTTTCTTTCACACATTATCCACCCTCTTCAGGCGCGGGACGTGGAATACGAGAATCTCACTCATTTTATATTTGAATTCGAGTAGTTCCCTGGTGTATCTTTGCAGCCCAATGTGTAATACTAACGACATTGATATGGGAAGTTTTTTATTATATAACTGATCCGTTAATTCATATTAGGGTTTGTATAACCGAATTGGCGTTAGTTAGGATTTTTACGCTTAAAATCCCACTCCATTCCTTGGTGGAAAGCATCCTTGTCCCTTGTTCCTCGTCCAGCCCGCGCCAGTCACATTCTTTGTCTCTTCTGTCCATTTCTACTTGATTCTTCCAATTTTTCTTGAATTTCTTGACTGTTCGGAGTCTTCTTACAGTGTTTTGGAGAATCATTTGATGACTCCGTGGCACAATTGTCAAGATATTGGCTTTGGTGTCGGGGGTCGTGGGTTCGATTCCCACACGGAACAACTGTTTGTGTGACCCACAAACAGTTGTTTCGCATCTGGGTGATTGTCCGCATGAAATTTATATTTGTAAAACGTTCTTACAACACAGGATGATGTTATACTAAAGTATGGGTAATGTTTAAAAAAATGCTCAGATGCATTTAAAGCATTTTTACTTTATTTAAAAGGCCTCCGAACAACTTAACCATAACGTCCATAATCAACTCATACAATAGTAGTTCAGCTCATCTTGGTCTCTGGACGCAGAGAACGGTATCAGTTATAATATTGGAGACTATGTCCATTTTTGAGATTCATCATATCGGCCGTAGGATGGCCCCCGCTTTAATGCGTAATTATTTCTTATTTCATTCAAGAACACAAGAAACAATTGGATTAATAAAACGATGTATTACGAAACTCGACAAAGCTTTGAGAGTCTTACGGTTGTTGGAGTAGTTTTACGAGTGAACGTTATTCCTCATTCAAATTACATTTGACGGAAGCGAGGTTTTAGTAACAAATGTTTTTTTTTTAAATCTCACTAAATTCTTACTTTTGAATTTGTCACATTTATAGCACACTGTTTTAGCAACAAAACTGATATAGGATAAAAGGAATTATCCTATATCAGTTTTGTTTTATTTTAATAGTTGTATTTATTTAGAAATGTCCTAACATTTAAAAAGGCTATTTATAATTCTGCTTCCATAATTCGGCAAGTTAATGAAAAAGTTTCTGGTGATACATCAATATTTTAGATATCAGCAATAATAAGATTGTGTCTCATTTTCTTTTTACGCTAGAGATAAGCCGATGATAATAGAAATATTTAGACAAACTAAAAAAAAACATAAGCATTTTATGGTATAATTAAAGTTTTCTTAGTTATACATTTTATGACTGTCATGTGAAAATATAAAAAAATACGAATTGTGTTTAAAAATACTAAAATATATGAAACCCCAAGTGTTATTATTTCGAGTTAGTCTTATCGAAGTAAATGCACTTCTTGAACGTTACTTAGATCAAAATGATTTTATTAAATTTTTTCTAAATGAAAATAACTAAAATTTAAATTTAGCCCGAATACGCGCGCGAGTTTAAGGGTGAATTCCACGTGAGCGTAGCGCGGAAAATTAAAAAAGCGTAATGGAAATAATTCACGCGCACGTAGCCACTGCGAGGGAATTTACCGGAAAATTGAATTACGCGGGCAAGAATTTCTGGTAAACTTGTTGCGGACGCGTAAATTATATTATTTTTAACATGATAAATATTAATGTGGGAGCACCGTTTCGCGCTGGCCTTCCTTTTCCCGGTGTGGGTTTTAGAACCAGCGTTAGATTTTTACATTGGGATTGTTGCAGACCTAATTGAATGATAAATTGGCTTTTACTTGAGAATCATGATTGAAATTCAAACGATCGATCCGAGCATGACTTGATTTATTTGTGTGTGCGGCTGATATTCTAGACATTGTTGTGTGTGACAATCCTGTGTGAATTTTTTTAAACATACTATTTACTCGCTTTTTGTATGTTAAGACATCTATTTATCTAAAGTAATTAAGATAATTTAGTTTAATTCCTAGTATATACTTTATTCCTAGTATATACTTTATTCCTATGTGTGATTTCGCTAAATGTTCTGGAGAGTGATGCTATAAAATTACGTTATTTTGCAATAACTCGTGTTCATCATTTCTGAAATCGATTATAACGAAAATCGAATACAAAATGCTTCTGGACCTACTTAAAAATATTAGAGTGTATTCTACACTCTTTTATTTATCCTGAAACAATGTCTGATGATACTTCCACCTCTATTATAAATAACTTCATTATGTAATTACTTTGCATCTCATCTTTTGACCGTAAACGACAAGTCCCAGATGCAACATAATACAATCGATTTAGCTGTAGCTACGAGATAATAACTAAATCTGTTTTTGGATACATCCAACTGCTATAATTGTTTCTGATTGTGTATATTAATAAATCATATCCATTAATTATGAAATATTAATAACTGTTAATAACTGTACAATCAGTGGTTAATATATTTATATGAGATACTTAATTGTCACGACAATTGCAGTTATTACATATAAATTATAAACAAGAATTTATTATGTATTATTATGTACAACAAATATATAATGTTCGTATAAGATGATTCTGCAAAAGATTAGTCTGGCTGCAAAACTATCTAGGTTCAAATTATTTTTTTTATTTTAGTGCTAATCTATGCGCTTAATGAATCTTAAAATGTGGAGATAAAAATGTGGCAAAAAATTTCACCACTGCCAGGATTCGAACCGGTGACTTCCGTTGCCAGCCTGTTTACACTCGCTCTTTATCTGTGGTTTTGGGCCACACAACAGTTTTCCGCTGTTGCACGAATAGGCAGGTCCGTCCGGTTAGTACCACGATCTCATAGAAAACCGGCGTGAAGTGAAAGTGCTATATTTCTACGTTTCGATGGGTGAGTGAGGTATCCGGGGCCCACTCTGTTAAGAGGTGGCAACGCATCTGCAACCCTACAGGTGCTGCGAATGTTCATGGGCAGTGGCTCCACTTAACGTCAGGTAAACCGCCCGCACTATTGCCACTTTCTCACATAAAAAAGTTTATCTACAGCTTCCCTTTATGTAAACTTCCGCTTACAGCGAACGTTGAGTTTGACTGAAAATTAATTCAAGTGGTGGTCCGTTAGACTTTCAACAGCGAGAGTTATTAAAAGCTCACTCTATTGAAGTTTACTGTAGTAGTAAATTCGTTCCATTACTTTTTGTTTGTAAACTTATTTACCAAAGCGCTGGTTGTAGATAGACGTCATAAAAATAAACACATCACGAAATAAGAATTCGTTCGATATATTTCTATATATTAATAAAGTCGTAAAGTGTACAAAGCTATGCTAACACATAATATAACATTTTCGAATTCTTAATCTCCCGCATAAAAGGGGCTAAGGTATTAATTATTAATGTATGTTACAATATTAATTCTTTACATTAAACAATTCATATTTTCTTGAACTCCAAAAACGGACTGGATTAAGTAGCTTGGGTTCGCTGAGCTGTCCTTGGAATACGAAGACTACAGCTTATTTAAGAACGGGGCAATAGAGGCGAAGTCTTCACAATCTGGTATCAGCCTGCCTCTGTACTTGACACAGGATTCCGCGCAAAGTGGTCCTTCGAACCACGACCCCAGCATCTTCTTGCACTGAGCGCAGTTCTCCAAGCAAATCTCTAACGGATCGTATCCGCGGGCAATAGAAGGATCGGCTTTCGCGTGGTTTAAGCAGATCGCGGTAATAACAAGGAAAGCGAACGAAATTAGGCCTTCGCCAGTCATTTTCTGTTTGATATTATAACACCAGCGGACAGAGGAAACTGTTGACTAGATCTGCTGAATTTTTTCCAATCCGAGACCTTTTATACCAGCTTTCCAAGCGCCTTAACCAACCGTAAACTTTCGCCACGGAAAAACTTAACTACCACATGGTGCTTCTGACTCAATTACTTTAAAAGCATAATCAGTGCATTAGTTAGATAATTTGGTTATAGAAACATCTCCAATAAATAAGTTTTTTGTTTGTTTTTTTTTTTTATCTCACAATATAGATTGGGCCTTGTAGGAGTATTTTACATGTTCCATGTATTATTGATTCGACTTGTGCTGTGCACTTGTTTTTCTGTCTTCTTGAATTTTCATTATAGATTTTGATGGAGCGATAAACGAATCTTTTGCTCATATTAAAATTTTTCAGTAGTTCAAAAATACGATGCAATGGTATAGCCGTAACTCTTTATATTTATGGGTTCACTCCATATTTAAAACTAGCTTTTTTTACAGGCTTCGCTCGTATTGAACCCCTTAAATAAATATCTATCCCCTTTAAGAACCTTTTATAACCCTTTTTCCAATAAAAAAATAGCCTATGTTCTTTCTCAGGCTCTAGACTATCTGTGGTTACCAAATTTCATTTAAATCGGTTAAGTAGTTTTGGCGTGAAAGCGAGACAGACATACAGAGTTACTTTCGCATTATATATATTAGTATGGATTAAATGAATGTGGATTAAATGAAATGTGGCAAAACTTATGACCGACCAGTTAGAAGAAGACCAGAAGTTACGCATGCAATTGCCGTGTTAATTAAGTACCTCATTAAAATCATTAAGCATTGTTCAATCATGGCAGTTATTAACATTTCGTAATTAACGGATATGGTTTGTTTATTAACCACAGTCAGAAATTTTTATAAATTAATATATCGAATTGTCGGTTTCGACTTACGGTTTCGAACGTTTTCAGTTAGATAATGCTTATTTTAAAGGTATGTAAAAATGCAGTTATTACAATTGATTACAAAAAAACGAACATAATTAAAACAAATAAAATATATGAATACTTGACGACCAACCGTGATAGCTCATATTAATATTCAAATTTAAAATATCTTATATCGTTCATATGAAACATCTAGTTTTACAAAAAATTAATACGTTCATAAGTAAGTTACCACCGCAAGCATATTACTATAAACAATTAGATGTGCCCAGTATATGCATACTTTAAATAATATCCTCATATTCTTCCTTTCATTTAAACAAATTATCGGAAAATGTTTACAACAGAGTTACTCGACTTTACTCACGACTTTTCTAAATGTAAACTATCCTAAATGAGTTTCTTGCCGGTCTCTTCTCAACAGAAACCGCTTTCCGAACCGGTGGTACCTTACGAACCTATATACATAATCTTTGATGTAAAATTTGACGATTCATAAGAGCGCGCAAGCGTCTATTTGAATAAATTTTTATATTTTATATTTTTGATTTTGATTTAATTTTGTAACTAAAAACTATATTCAGAATATTTGATTTATTTACTAATAATTGAATCAACAATAAATAGATGTATCAACAACCAATGTGGATCTAACAACGAAAATCATATAAAAGACTAACATCAAAATATCTGCAGAAATGAACGACTTCTTCCGTCTTCCTTTCTATGATAAAAAGCACACTCTGTCTAAATAATAAAATATGCAACCGTCAAGAGCATTGCCATGTCAACGGAAGTAAGGAAAAATGTAACAATAAGCCATTCCCTCTGAGCCTCTGTTCCCTCTTACAAACAGATATAAATAAATACAATGATACATAAATGTTTCTACACTACAAACAACTCAAAGTAACATTAATACACAGTTGAATCCATAACGTTTCACTGTTATAAGCGAATAAATAAATTCTGCAGAGATTCTAGACGTATATTTAACCAGCAGAGTATATTAGTAACTTTCGTAAGATCTTGGAACGAGCCTACATTGAATAGTTTTCGACTGTAACTGCAAAATGGCATTTTTTTTCGTCGCTTTAAACCATGCATAATCGAACCCTTCATCATTGTATCTGGTAATAGACAATTGGATACATTCTCAAGCTTTATTCGACCTTTCTATCACTATGTAAAGAAGAACATTCCCACCTTTTTTATTGTTCTTCTGTTTAACAAGTCAATTTTTCACTAACGAAAAACAAACCCGACTTCAAGTATCTCGCTCTGTTTTCATTTTGTAGTTGATTTTCAGGAGTTCCCTAAGAATCTCCGGAGCCAAGAGCCAATACCAATGAAATTAATATGGGACCACATGAGAAGCACCAGCTTTCAAATAAAAAAAAGAATCATCAATAATTTCTTGTATTTACGCGATTATACATTATAAATGAAACTAATTTTACGGATTTATCGCGTTTATTTTTAATTTTAATTCCCGACGTTTCGAACCCTTTACAGCGTTCATGGTCACGGGACAGACTGAGGTGTTAGACGTCTGATTGTCAAAGTTAACCCGGGCTACCGTCAGTTTTTGTATTATTGTTTTTGTGTCCGATCTATGCAGAGGGAGCTAATTGTATCTTGTCTTGCAGTAGTGGTTCGTTTGGGCTTAGATTTAATTTCATTGATGACAGGATCGCAAGCTGATGGTAGTACCCAACCCTCTTCTCTATTGAAATTAGAATTGTTCAGTTCTGAGGGAACAAACATAAAAAAAATATAGTCGAATTGAGAACCTCCTACGTTCTTGTAGTCGGTTGAAAAACTGCTACATCCGGTCTTACTAAAAAGGCTGACACTCACATCACTTGTGTAGTTCGCATCAAACAGCTTGCTTACTAAGTAAACATATAGTGCGAGTATATAATGGGAATCATGAACGCAAACACACAATTTCAACATCCCGTCAGCAGCAGTAAGCATAAAATATGGCCTGAATGCGTTTTCCTTTTCGCGCACCGGTTCTCGATGTTTTCTTTGCGTAGACGGCATTGTTTCTACCAGTAGATTCGAGCCAGTGGCGCGTGACATGAGGCGTTACAAATCAGAAATAAATACTAGAAGTATACATAGAATACTAGAATACATATTAGAAGTACTAGGAAGGCAATTTGTTTGCATTGCTCGTCCAATAAGAAGCCGCCGTATGCCTTTGTATCATGTGAATATTTTGAAAAATGTAATAAGTATCTATGACCAAAAATACCCGTTATTTATTAGTATTTTGGGCAACTTACAGTTAAGATTTGTGCAATTATTAATTCTAACCGATAGTAATACGACAACTGTGTAAATAAGACAGATTTATCGAGCACGCTGTTGCTACGGGTAAAGCATGTTCTGTATGATGATACATCATACTCCTATACGTAAAGAAATCTAGGTTCTCTATATAAAATCTTATAAATTTCGATCGTGGAATCTCAATTATAGCAACCAAAATTAAACAATAGCAATAAAAACGTGTGCAATAACTAAATATATTGACTTTATTATGTCAATAGTATAAACGGAAATATACATACATTGACAACACTATTCTACGTACGTATGTATACGTATGTCTATGTGGATAATCCTGAAGTGTTTGTGACGCCAGAAACCTTTATGTCCTATTTTCACTCATAATAGTCCAGCAGCAAACACTTTTAATGTTAGATTCATTGTTAGGAAGGTTAATGTAGGTAATGAAAAAGTTTTAATGCTATATAAAGAGGTAGCCCGCGATAAAAATTGATTGACCGTATTATACCCACTAGTAAACCTGCCACAGAGTACAATAAATAGTAGATCCATTTCAAACATTCACAATCGCCACACAATTATATAAGAAATGCAACAAATAAGGCCTCTTTTAAAATACTGGTTCATGAAAACTTGTTCTTTGTTGAAGACTGCCACTTATTAGGCCTAAGCCAATATGATTTGTAAATCGATGAACAAACAAAAATGTCGTTTTAATAATTTTACATTGGTAATAAATAATTGTCACAAACGAATTATTGGAGACGGAAATTGCAAAATGTAACTTTGTAAAACTTTCTGCAAAATGCCCTCGCATTCAATTTGATAACGATGCAAATATCACAACTAACACTGAACGTTCATCACACATATTTGAATATTCTTATTTAACCTAGGTAGGACAGGTCTGTCCGGGGAAGTACCATGACGTTGTAGAAAACTGGCGGGCAGTGGATAGAAAGACAACCTCAGTCACACAGCAGGGGCCCACTTTTTTAAATGTGTGAAGCATTTGGAGCCCCACGCGTCTTGCAATGTCCCTAGTCGCTCACTTGCCATCTTCTTACGGAAGAAAACTCAACTTAAATGAGGTAGCTGCGCTCATTAGTCTGTGGTTCTATAAGGGAAAAGCGAAAGCGGATTACGAAAATACCCTGTATCAGATCAGGGCGTCCTTTTTTTATTTCCGCTCATAAATGTAACGATGCGTCTTTACTGCGCTATGGGGCTGTAATCTCCAACCTTCACAGTCCAAAAGTTATTTATAAATGGGCCATTGCAAGTTTTAGCTTGAGTGGATGTGTACTTTTTTCGAGTAGATGGAAAACAAAAAGTTACGAAACTTTTTGAACCGCTAACACGAAAGGACGGATCATAGTGTGGATCAATGTGTTAAGAACCAAGATGTTTAGAAACGATTTTTGCTTATTGGACTATCGTACAAACTCAGATCGGCGCCTCTTCGTCACTGATTAAGGCAAAGCTGCTACAGAAACAATTTGCTTAGGACTGTCTTGTCATCCTATTTTTAAACGAGTACTTCATTCTGCATTTTCAACGATAAGTTCACCTCCAAACATCACGTGAAATTTTGGTCATTTTAGAGAAAAAAGAAACATGTAAGGAAACAGTTTTTTTATGCGAGAAGGTGGCAAACGAACTGGCGGCTTAGTGATTACCGTCGCCCATTGACATGTGCAACACCCGTAGGGTTGCAGACGCGTTACCACTTATAAAATTGGGCCCCGACTACCTCACTCA